TGTTCCTTTATCAGAACAGTATTATTTGGTTTTGCTCTAGGTCTCTGGGGTATCTAGTTCCAGGTTCTTGGTCACCCAAGCAACATCATGTATGGGTTCCATCTTGTGGAATGGGCCTTAAGTCAAATTAGATATTGGTAGGTTGCTCCCACAAGCCATGTGCCCCCATTGGACTAGTATATCTTACAGGTAGGACATCATGTAGATCCAAGGGTTAGAGATTGTGTTGGTGTTTATGTTTCTCCTTTGATAGCCTGCAGAGTACTTTGTAGTACCAAGAATACTAGCCCGTGTGGGGGAAGGCTCTAGGTAGGCACTGGCTCTACTTCTTTGTGTTCAATGAGTTGTGTAGGTGTGGATGTGGTCTTCAGTAGTAGGGCCTTGCTCTCACGTTGTGGAGAGCAGCTTATGTGCAGCAGTAGATGGTCAACAGAAAACAAACTGACCGGCATCTTTGGAGGCTCCTTGTTACATAATGTCATGTTAGGCCTTCCTCTCTCTCTCTCTATTTCTCTCTTTCTATTTCTCTCTCTCTCTCTCTCTCTCTCTCTCTCTCTCTCTCTCTCTCTCCCCCCCCCCCCCCCACATCCATTGCATATATATTATGGCTTCCAGTTTTGTGCTTTTATGGGATTCCTGTGTGTGCTAACGAGTGGGTCTTTGTGTCTATATCTGTTCCTTGCACCTGTTTATCTATTTATTTGTTTTGTACTATTATGTTTATTTTTATTATATTATATTAATTATTACATTACATTATATTATATTATATTATATTCCTTTAGAAACCTGTTTGTTTTCTAATGATAGACAGAAAGCAGGTGGATCTGGAGAGAAGAAGGAAGTGGGGAGGAACTGAAGGAGTAGAGGGAGGGGAATCATAATCAGAATATATTATAAGAGAAAAAATATTTTCAATAATAATAATAATAAAAAGTAAGCCAGTATGAAGCATTCCTCCATTGTCTTTGCTTCACTTTCTGCCCCAAAGCTCCTGCCTTGAGTTCTTGTCCTGACTTCCCTCAGTGATGGGTTGGATTTGTAAGATGAAGTAAGGTCTTTCTTTCCTCATTCAATATTGGTCAGGGTTTGATCACAGTAACAGAGAAGCAAACTAATACAGAGGTTTAGAAGGATTGTAAAATAAATGAATTACTGTCAAATATAGTTTGTATTTATGAATTTTTTTTTTTTGGTTTTTCGAGACAGGGTTTCTCTGTGTAGCTTTGCGCCTTTCCTGGAACTCACTTTGGAGACCAGGCTGGCCTTGAACTCACAGAGATCCGCCTGGCTCTGCCTCCCAAGTGCTGGGATTAAAGGCGTGCGCCACCACCGCCCGGCTCTTATGATTTTTTTTTTCATTATAATCTTAGCAATTCAAGTGAACACAAAGCTACTTATTGTGGTATCTTATTTTTTGTTTATGGTGTGCATATAAGTGATACATATTACCTTTTCATTTGTACAGTGGTACAAATGAAAGTGCTTTTAGTATCTTGGAATTCTGAGCGCAATTTGCTGGGAACTCCATTGTTTCTGATTTTTTTCAAATATAGTCTTAATATGTATCCCAGCTTGGCCTTGAATGAATGATCCTCCTTTGCCAGTCTCCCAAGTCCTAGGACTACACACATGGGCTGCCCTACTCAGCTTTGTTTCTGGTTTTATATGAATTACTAGTGTTTCTAAAGGGATTTAGGTTTTGTAAAATAAGTCTATGTACATTCTTTCATGATAGTTCACTAGCTAGTAAATAGTTGAACAAAGATTCAAAACCTAGATTTCTCACCTGAATCTATTACATCACCATACAAGGAAAGTAAGGAATTATTTTAGATGACTTGAATTAGGTGTTCCTGTCCTGATGTAAACTTTTATCTGATCACAATTGCATTTCTTGTAGAAACTGAATTTTCTGTGTACCAAAAAGACCGTGTGCCTTCTCTGTCTGTTACAGACTGATGTCTTCATTGCTCAGCTTCTCCCTCAGTGCCCAGATGAATGTTCATACATGTTCACACATACACACCCCAAAACATGCACATTTTCTCATTATAGCTTTGGGATTAGATGCTGCCTAGCATTAGTTTGAGCCATCCTTTACTAAGTGCCACGTTACTTTTTAACGGTAGTCTCTCTAAGTCTTTAGTTCTTCATACACTGCCAGTAAATTTGACTCAGTGAACTTTCAGCTGCTAGACTGCTGTTTTGAACTCAGTTTCCAGAGCCTGACTTACTGAGTATAGATTCTTTGTGGCCAGGCTCAGTTCAGGCCAGGCCCAGTGTTCTAAGAGCATTAATTCAAGTTTTTTTGTTCTGGACCATATTTTGTATGTACATCTGTGTATTCAGGATATGAGGGAAGTATCAACCGTACCTAGTTTATATTTAATACCTGCTTAAGACCAAACAAATGTGGAAAAATAGACCATTCAGTATCTTTCTGTACATTTTATATGTGCTCACACCATATTTTGGGCTAACAGCAAGTAAATGTTCTATTGTTCTGTGTTTTGAAATGCTGATTGTATAAAGATTACACATGGCAAGTTGTTTATAGCTTTATTCTATATCTATTCCACTATCTATAGTGGATTCTCTGTTGGAATCATAGAAAGGAAAAAGATATGATAATTGCTTTGTGTAGTTCACAGAATGAAAGTGCAAAGTGAGGTGTTTTGAATCTAGTTTGTATTAGGAAACCACATTTAAACATTTCTAGGAAACCACATTTAAACAGCAGTGGTTATCATCAAGTATACAACTTGTCAGCTGTGTCCCAGTTCACATCAGTGAAAACCTTCCACTACTCTATTCCCTATAACCTAACCTCTATCAGATAATACCAAATAAACGGTGTTGAGTACACAAATTAATATATTTCAAATGTCCCAAATGCCTTGCTGGCTGCATTTTCAGTAATGTGTGTCTGTGGTCATGCAGGTTATAACTCTGAATCTCTGTTAGGAAAACTAAATTGAGAATTTATAATGCTCCTGGTTTAGCTTCACCAGCTGTGCTACAGTCATGGACAATAGCTCAAGAGGGTAAAGTCTAAAGAAGGACATGAGAGTGACAGACAAGTTGCCTTTACTTCATGCTTACTTGCTTTGTAAGACTTACATGCTACTGTAAGACTTAGGGTTACATGTAGAAGTTAATAACCCTCTAGTTCATAGGTCATCATCACAATATGACATGCTCTATGAATTTTAGGTTGTTTCATGTAAAATCAAGGATAGTGACTATTGGTTGCTAGTTAATTATGAGAATCAAGAAAGGGATTCTTTAGTATGTGAATTTAGTTTGGAGAGATGGCTTAGTATTAAGAGCACTTGCTGCTGTTACAGAGATCCTGGAACTCTGAATGTAGGGGATCTGATTCCTCTTCTGACCTCCCCAGACTCTTGGATGTATGTGATGCACATACCTTCACTCAGGTGCACACGCATAAAATAAACAGATATATTTTTAAAAATGTGAATATTAAATATGACCTTTGCATCAAAACATATTCTTTATTAATAAAGCTACAGTGAAATAGTTATATAATTGTTCTGTTCCGGTATCAGATAATTTGTGGCTAATGAATAATGACTTAGTGATTGTGCTGGCTAATTTGATGTCAGCTTGACACAAGATAGGGCCATCTGAGAGGAGGGAACCCAGTTGAGAAATAAGATCTGGCTGTAGGCAAGCCTGTAGGACATTTTCTTAATTAGTGATTGATTGGGGAGTGTGTCTTAGTTACTGTTCTGTTGCTGTGAAGAGACACTATGACCAAGGCAACACTTGAAGAATTTAATTGGGTGCTTGCTTATAATTTTAGAGGGTTGATTATGATCATCATGTTGGGAAACAGACAGGCGTGGCATTGGAGCAGTAGCTGAGACATTGACATCTTAATCAGAGCCCAGCCCAGGACTCATAGTTGTCCCCCAGTACTTTCACTAAGTGGGTGCCAAGCATTCATACATTTGACTTACCAGTGTAGGGTCTTCTTTTTCTTGTTCACTCTCAGTTTTTGAGGTGGAGTCTTGTATTGTATCTCAGGCTGGCCTCAAACTTGTAATCCATCTTTCTCAGTGTAATTGCTAGGATTGTGGGCATGCACTACCATGCCTGGCATTGATGTAATTTTTATGTATGGTCTAAATTTAAGTATTTCCATTGTATGTGTTATAGCCTTTTCTTTCAAACTTTAGGATTAGTTGTTTTCACTCTTGCTCATGAGCAGCCTGCAAAAGGCCAACTATAGTTTTAATGCCTTTGGTTAGAGTGGAGTAGAATTAGATTTTAAGAAATCCTAATTTTATAGTATACTATTTACTGGAATGACATTTATAGAACATAGCTTTCAGGCAGTGAAGTAAGCGTAGTTTCTTTTTAAAAGTTTCTAATTGTTTCCCTTAAAGTTAAATTTTTAATTAAACTTTAGGCCATTTGTAGTTGCTTTATATATTTATGTATTTTTTTCTTTGTAACTATCTGCATGTTAGATGAGAACACTCTGACCTTCTAAGTGGCACATGCTTGCAGTTTATATTAAATCTCACACTTTCAAAATTACCTGAAGATTTAAAATATGAGATGATCATAACTGAGGAAAAAGGATTATGCAGTCTAGGCTAGCCTGGGCTACATAGACAAAGTGTATCTCAAACAAACGCACAGGCACATGCACCAGCAAATGCCATTGGCTGATAAGGAGCTAAGTTTAGTTGAGCAAGCTTATGGGTTATCTGTAGATTTAAGACTGTGTTGGTGATGTTCTAGCTGTAACAACAGCAGAGAGGTGTAAACTATTAGCAAAATCAGATGACACATAAATACTATCATTTGAAGCAGGCAAATAATAAGTTTTGAGGTGTGGGCATCCACGAAGTAGAATGGCAAATCAAGGTAGGAAGTTATTCTCTTTCTCTTGTAGGAGCTCAGAAGCTTTCATAGAATAGATGGGCTTTGGGTAGAGCTTAATTTATTGCTTTCATTCATTCTAGACTGTTTTCTGAAGAGTGATGTCTATTTCCTTGAGCTCTTTAATTTTCTTGCCAATGTGGATAAACATGGCACAAATCCAGCAGGGAGGTCCAGATGAAAAAGAAAAGACTACAGCATTGAAAGGTACATACTTCAATTACTTTTTCCAGCAAGTTCCACTGTGCACAGTGAAAGTGTAGAAATACTTAGGTCTTTTGTTCATTCCAGTTGTAAAATAAGAATGTCAGTGCCTAAGCTATTTGCAAGTACTTATATGGCTTACAGCAACCATTACAATGACTGTGATAAATTATAGACTCAAGATTTCACAGATATAAGACTTCTTAATGCTCTTCCTGCTTAAGGTCATCATTCAATGGCAAAACAAACGCTTTCAAGACTTATCAATCAAGATCAGTATCTTTACCATATTTTGCCGAGTGGAGTGTTGCATAATCTAGCCTTCCTGTCTTCTGCTATTATGTTAACTGGGACTGAGGATATTTTGTGCAAGCCATTCCATATTAATACCTCACAAGGAATTTTTCTCAGTGTTGGGGAATTCCGAGTTTTAGATGTTTTTTGTGTTTTAATTCTGTCTAATATAATTTTATCTCTAGAGGAAGTTTATCACCCAGTTTGTACTTCTGCTGTTATGTTTAAAATTTTAAATGTCTCCCACAGCTGTTTTGAAGACTTTGGAGCCTTTAGCAGGCAAGCTCTTCTGGTGGAAGAAGGTCACTAAGGATGGTTGTGGCATACTCTCTTAGTCCTCTACTCTGCTTCTGTATGAATAGCCCACTCTCATGGTGGACTGGGCCGTTTCTCTGTGCCTTCCTGACTGTGATGGGCTGAAATTTCCTAAAACTGTGAGCCCAAACACTCCTTTCTTCCTGAGGTTTCTGTCAGGTATTTGGTCATAGCAGTAAGTGCAGCTATCTTGGCCTATCTTTTACAAAGACCGTCTCAGGCAGATGTGGAATAAAGCAGCATGTTTTCTAGCTCACTTTCTATCATCTTGATCTTTCCTCTAGAGGTGATGCTCAAGAGAACAGTGGAGCTAGTGCTTACCTACAGAAAACAAAATGACCAAGGTGATTGTTGGCTTTGAGTTTTCAGAGTCTTCTCAGCCAGAAAGTGGGTGATGGCTTGGATTAGGTTTGTAACAAGGGGATAATAAACAATTCATACACTGATGTTAAGAGATAATATAATTTGCTGTCGTATGTGGACATGAAATAATATTTAATGTTGTAGTCCTAATTGAGATCGCCTGTGATAATCGTGGGACTAGAAAAGAGAGGTCTAAGGACTTACCCTGGGCAGCTTAACCTTTAGAGTCACCCAGAAGAGGAGCAACTAGTGACAGAGACTAGAAGATCTTACCTAGATGGTTATGTTGGGCTTCCGTCTAAATAGATTGTGTTTCTATCTTCCTTGATGTGAAAATTTGATTCTCAAAGTTGTGGCTCTAAATTATAATCTCCCAGGCAGTATATGAGTACAGGTTGATTTGAGGGGGGCAGTATCATAATGTTAAAGGAGTAGAGGTAGACCATAGAGATAGAACTATCTGGATTCTAATTCAGACTTTTCCTTTTGCCCACCAATAGGAATAACAACCACTCTTATCTTTCTCCCAACAATAGGAATAACTATTTATTATATGTAGGATTGTGCAGAGTGATGATAGCTTCATATTGGTGATAGTTGACCTTAGGACAACATGGTTTTGAACATCGCTGCCCTATTTGTATGTCAGGTTTTTGGTCTTTGTTTTGTTATTTGAGACAATTTGAAAATCTTTTCAGAGATTATGTATAATGATAGAAACACATAATTTTTTTAAAAGTTAGGTTTATCATAATTGCACAGAATATATTTTGATAATAATCTACTTTATCATTTCCTTCCATAAAATATATCAAAATATGTTATCAAATATTGATATTTATCAGAATTTATGCACGTAAGTACAGGGTATACATGGTAGTAGTTTGTATCAAGAAAAATGTAAACAAATACAGACATGAAATGTTAAATCATGTCATAAAATTAACTGTTGTTCCCACTGTACTACCACGAAAGTTTTGTTTCTACTGTACTGTTACCATTGTGATGAATTCAAGTGTTTCAGGTGTCTACTTCCAATGCCATGTAATTTAGCTCATCTCTGTGGTCTGTTGGGTTTCAGTATATTTTGTAAGTTTCTAGGCATGATTCTCAGTGTTTCCTGAATGCTTTTCAATGCATATAGTACATATAACACAGATAAGATAGTTCACCACCATGGACAGTGGTACACAAGCAGGCCATCCTCCACACTTTTCAATGCATGTAGTACATGTAACACAGATAAGATAGTTCACCACCATGGACAGTGGTACACAAGCAGGCCATCCTCCACACTTTTCAATGCATGTAGTACATATAACACAGATAAGATAGTACACCACCATGGACAGTGGTACACAAGCAGGCCATCCTCCACACTGACAGAGAGCTTGTGATGTTTTCCAAAAAAAAAAAAGAATATAGAGGCCACAAATGTTACATGCTCTGAAGGCGTTCCAGTGTAGGGCAGTAGATAAGTTGTAAGCTGTAACAATTATAGATGTGGTGTGCTGCCTACCACAGAGGAGCCATCTATAGAATTATCAGAGTGGGAGAACTGGGGAAAGAAAGGGATCCAAGAATGTCTTGGAGGCTCATTTCAGATGATGCTTGTTCTATTTCAGACAAGGGTCCCATCTTATTAAATGGCCAGCATTAGTATCATCACAGCTTCACTTTAAGGCATGTGGTTTTGTGTATGTAGTGTATATGTATGTTCATGTAGATATGTGCATGTATGGAGGCCAAAGGTTGATGTTGAACATTCTCTACAATTACTCTACACCTAATTTTTTTTGAGACAAAGTCCTTCACTGAACTTGGAACTTTTTGATTTAACTGGTCTGGTGGCAAATGAAGCTGGCTGATGTCTCTGTCCCCCAGTGCTACAATTACAGACAGATGTGTCTGAACTTGAGTCCTCACACTGGTATGACAAGCACTTTAACAAGGGGACTCTCTCCCCAGACCTGTTTTTCTTGAGTTTTTAAAAAATAGAGAACAGTGAAACAAATACAGTTAGTCAGTCCATCCATTTAGACTTTGTCCCCTCAGGCTGAGCAGGGTAGCACTGAGTGAAAACTTGCCATACTGCCATCAAGTCTTGTAACAAGAAATGAATACGGTTCTAGGAATCAGAAACGAACCAATAATTGGTGTTGAAGACTTTGGTGCTTTTTTATTTTGTGCAGTGACTGTAATTAAAATGTCTATGTTATCTGTACAGCATGGAGTTTTTATTATTTTGACCCTTTTGGCAATGATGATGATGGTGATTTTTTTAAAGTCTCTCTTTGTTTTAAGCCTGGTTTATTATCAACATCTTTAAAATATGAAAATTAGTTCATATCTGGGCAAGTTGATATTTTTTAAGAACTGCTTTTCTTTTTAAGATAGAGTCTTAAATCTCAGTCAGGCTGTCCTTAAACTTGCTATGTCACCATGGATGTCCTTGATATTATACTTGATCTTATATAAAAGGTTGAGAAGCAATTAAGGATGACCCATGATACCTACTACCTCTACCTCCCCAGTGCTTGTATTAAAGGTAGTGTGTACCACTGTGCCCTGTTATTGTGGGTATTGTTTTATCTATCTATCTATCTATCTATCTATCTATCTATCTATCTATCTATCTATCTATCTGTGACAAGTCCTACTAAGTTGCTCAGGGTTGGTTTGAACTCAATGTGTAGTCTAGGATATCCTAGAACTTGCTTCAGCCTGTTGAATGCTGGGATTATAGGTTTGTACCATCATCCCTGGCTAAGAACTTCCTTTTTAGTTAGTAAGGAAAATTTATAATTTGATTTTTTTCAAAAAAGCAAACAAATGGTAATTTCACATTAACAAATTTTAAATAATTGAAAAATAAAGCTGTACTAAGATTTTCTACTGTACCGGCAGGTCAGTGCCCCCAAGACTCATGCTGTTCAAGGCCCAACTGAATTAGAAAATAAATAAGGAAATGCATTATAAGGTAAATTTTAGAGCAAACTTCAAAGCTTGCAAATCATCTATATCCCTAGAATAGAAAATAGTTTTACTTTTGAATTTCTTCACTACCGGGCAATGATATGTAAACAGTGGATGGTGATCATTGACTTGTTCATTGTAGGATATTAGTCTTACATGGAAAGAATGCACATTTGAAGATAGTTTAATTTTTAATGAATGGAAGGTACTTGAGAATATGAAGTTTCTTAAGAATTTTATCATGTATATAATGAACTATCATATACACCCCTACTTCCCCTTCAAATGCTCATAAACTCTTCCCCAAACCTCTCCCTCCTAACTTCCTCTCTTTATTGTAGTTGGAAGGTTTCTCTAATACCACCTGGCTGCATGGTCCTTCAGCCACTTATAAAATAATCATTCAGAGGCTTAATATTAATTGCCAATTGAATGGCCTATGGCAAGATTCTCACTAGCTAGCTCTTATAACTTAACCCATTTCTGTTAATCTCTAAGTTGCCACATGGCCGTGACTTACTAGTACTTTCACATCTTACTTCTCCTGGTGGTGGCTCGCAGCGTCTCTCTGCTTCTGCCTTTCTTCCTGACCTCTCCTTGGATTTCCTGCCTGCCTCTAAGCTGCCTTGCCATAGGCCAGTGCAGCTTTATCAGCCAATCAGAGCAACACATATTACAGTATACAGAAAGACATCCCACAGCACTTAATTATGTTTGGTTTGTGACAGCCCACTAAATCCAATCAGTGCTGCCCATATGCACATGTGTGCGCAGTTTGGAAAGCCCAGTAGCCACACCCTCAGAGAAGAATGATTCTCCCTCTCCCGATAGCTATCAACTGCTGATAGCTCCTCACTAGTGGGCTAGGCCTGGGGATCATCTCCTTCTGTTCAGGAAATTTTGCTGACTTGGTCTTATGTCAGTCTTGTGCAGGTAACCACAGCTGCTGTTCATGATTGTGAAAACCATGCCGCGTCCAGGAGACGGCATTTCACAGTGCTCCTCTCTGCCAGCTCTTACATTTTTCTTCTGAGATGTTCCTAGAGCTTTAGTGG